CGGCAAGGAATGAATGAGAGCCGTGCGGATGCTTTCAACTTTGTGCCGGTGATGCCACGACGTTCTCTCCCTCCTAAAGGGGAAGGAAGAGGGGGTATCCTCGAAGAAGCATTCGGTCTCGTTCTAGCTGTGCCTTATATTGACCCACCCAGTTACCATGGGGGCGGGGTGTGTGTGTGTGCCTTAGATTGACCCACCCAGTTACCGTGGGGGCGGGGGGGAACTCATAGACGTGCATGCCGTAGTCATCAGGCCATTGACCTCGCATTCCTACAAAGCCGGGACGGAGCACCCCGGATCTCACCGGTCCAGGCTGGCACATCACCAAGGGTGAAGCACCGTGAGGTATGCGGCGAGTCGCATGAAGGGTGCGCTGCATCCTGCCCAGAGATAGTGATAAGCATTGTGTAACTGCCTCGAGAGTGCTTGACCATTTTAACCCAACGTGGTGCGATCATCCCCTTCGCGCGGAGTGAGGGTTCTCGACCCCGCACACCATAATCTACTCGACAACCACAATGGTTGCCAAAATAAAACACAGGCAAAAAAAAAAAAGAAGCAGCAACCTGGTTGCCGAGCTCACGAAGTGATCGGCTTGTTATACAAAGTCGTTGCCAAGCGACGAAAACCCAACTCCGATGGCCAGTTACCGTGGGGGGTGGCTTTTCTTAGCACATATCTTCACAACGAACACAGCTCACCGGCGGTTGCCTCCCGCTTGAGGTCGTTCTGGTCCAAGCTGAGCTCGAACATATCGCACGTGACTACCTTCAGGACCGTGGTCGTCGTACCATTGGCTTCTACCTGTTCCTCCCACGCGTTGACCACGTGGAACGCCATGAAGCACTGCTCCCATTTCGTCCCATCCCACACCGCACGGCGCCCCCCCAAGGGCAAACGAGACGACGCACCACACCAGCAGTACCAACGCAACGCAGCGCACGGGTCGTGCGGATCATGCGCCGAAGATGAGGGAAGAAATTGTTTCGGATGGATGGCCACTTTGTGAACATACTTGAACAAATAATAGATTTGAAGCCAAGCGCTCCCGCGTAGTACTTCCCACGTGATCAGCGGTCCATGAAAGGTGTCATGCTGTATTTCCGAATTCGTCTTGCATCCTAGCCCTGAGACCATCGTCCCGAGGTAGGCACTGACTGTTCCCGATCCTGACGACAACCGCTTTGGGAAGGGTAGCACTCTCGACTCTGCCAGCGAGCATAGCATTGCCCACAGCTTTGTACAAGTTGTAGCGCACTTTCGTTTCGCGTGCATACCTCTGGCATATCGAACCATTGGATGCCGGATGAGTCGGTGGCGTCGAGCCTAAGGACTCCCATCCTGAGACATGGACAGCGACAACAAGGTCGGAAGTCAGTGACAACAACGCATGCGATACAAACAACGACAGTAGCAGAGGTGCTTTGGCGTGAGGAACGAGAGAGAGAGAGACGAAGTTGAGTCGAGGGACGGCTCTTGACGACTTGTCATGTCATGTTCGAAAATCGAAAGAGGAGCTTCGCTAGGCCCTTTCCGGTGCACGGAGCAAGCGCTCCTGCTGGAGCTTCTGCTTCCAGAACTCACTCCAAAATATTCGCTTCCCCCACGATCAAGGGCAAACAAAACAGCCGCATGGAAAGCGACAGGCAGAGAGATGCAGAGAAGGATCACATTTGGAACAACCAGCAACAACGACAGACGCGGACAAGACATCGGCCAGAACAATCAACAAAAACCAACCAAGCACCCACAGCCAGTCAACGTCAACAACAGGGCCTACAAAACTACAGCAGTAGAGCTCTTGTTGCCTGTTCACCTGGCGCCCAGCGTGCCGTCGTAAACGATAGGGAACTTCCCCTTCAAGAGGTTTTCCCCCTTAAACACCAGGGGTACGTCGAGGAAAACGCAGTAGTTCTCGCTGATGGCGAAGTCATGCATGGCCGTCGCTCGCCCAACGTCCACCGGGAACTTCGGCGGGGAAAGGGTGTGCAGGGAAAGTCAAAAAGCGGGGCAGCAAGAGGGGTTTCGGGGAAAAAATCATTCTGTGAGATAATGAGTGGCTTCCGATTGTTGCAAGGCGCAAGCAACAACAACAACGGCGGCGGCGGCTTGTCGTTGTTGTGTGCTTAGGGTCACGCTATGTGATTTTGGGGTATCGCTCTCACCACCTTCAACAACCTGTTGACGCAAGCCCGAGGAACTTGAGACTACACATGACAAACACAAAATGCAGCGCCTCCAGAGACTGCAGGGAACAGCGTAGCCTGCCCCGCCCTGGGGACTACGCGCAATCTAAACGTCAAGATGGATACCCTTCGCCCTTGTGGTTCGTACCTACCGCAATTACAGAAACCGATGAGCTAGACGCAACGTCGTTCGTTCGACTCTCAACACGTCAGTAGGGCCTGCCTCGCGATTGCCTTACCTGGCGCTCGATCTTGCCGTCCGCATCCAGAACGTACATTGTCAAGAAAGGGTTGCCTTGCATCTGGGCGAGGGAGGACCCAAAACAGAAAAAGGTGGGACAGCAAGGCACCGAAAGCATAGCACAGGCCGACTTACGGCGCGGACAAGCACGGAGTTGCACATTTCAGCACAACACAAACAGTAGTGCGGGCGCGCAGACAAGAATCGTCACCACCGTAGAGTACAGGCTACTGCGATTATTTTGATTTTGGTATGTGATCCTCGGCTGAGATAGCTGTACTTCTTAGCCCATTTTTCTTGTTCTTACGGCAATTGAGCCTTCTTTGCTCAACGAAATATTCACAACATGGGCCCGCACTGCTGCACACACAAGGGGTTATTGCTGACACGCTCGTGTTGATATGGAACTTAGAGAAGGCACGTCGCGTGCAGTGGAGCCACCGACTTATTGGAAAGAAGGTGACACAAGATATCACACCCCCCTGAACCGATTTTCAAAGTTCGGTTACTCCACGACGAGGATGTCTAAACCGGACGATACTGCATGTTTTCGGAAAGCTCCCGGCGAGACGGTTCCAATGCCGCCTCTTTCGACACCGCCACTCTTTCTGCTGTAGGATCATCGAGCTCAAGAAGCGGTCCAGGGGGTATGATATCTTGTGTCATGTCACCTACGGAAAGTTAGCCCACCGGCCGAATATTTCGTCCCTTACACTTGCAAGGTGTAGTTGGAAGTGGTGCAGCGGGGGGGCGGGGGGTGTACTCATAGTCGTGCATGCCGTAGTCGTTAGAACATTGACCTCGCATCCCTACAAAGCCGGGACGGAGCACGCCGGGTTCTCACCGGACCAGGCTCTCACATCACCAAGCGCGAAGCGCCGTGAGATATTCGGCGGGTCGCATGAAGGGTGCGCTGCATCCTGCTAAGGGTTTTCGGCATCTTGTGCTTACTTCCTTGCGTACGGATGACAGCTGCGTATGAATTAATTTATTTTCTGGTGCTTTCACTTCCAGAGACAGTTGTAAGCACTGTGTAACTGCCTCGAGGGTGCTTGACCATTTTAACACAACGTGGTGCGATCATCCCCCTTGCGCGGAGTGAGGGTTCTCCACCCCGCACAACATGATCTACTCGACCACCATTATGGTTACCGCCAAAAAAAAAAACGGAGGTAAAAAAAAAAAACGGTAACCTGGTTGCCGAGTTCACGAAGTGAATTGGCTTGTTTTACAACGTCGTTGCCAAGCGACGAAAACCCAACCCCGATGGCAAACACCGGGGGGGGCGGCTTGTTTTACAACGTCGTTGCCAAGCGACGAAAACCCAACCCCGATGGCAAACACCGGGGGGGGCGGCTTGTTTTACAACGTCGTTGCCAAGCGACGAAAACCCAACCCCGATGGCAAACACCGGGGGGGGCGGCTTGTTTTACAACGTCGTTGCCAAGCGACGAAAACCCAACCCCGATGGCAAACACCGGGGGGGGCGGCTTGTTTTACAACGTCGTTGCCAAGCGACGAAAACCCAACCCCGATGGCAAACACCGGGGGGGGCGGCTTGTTTTACAACGTCGTTGCCAAGCGACGAAAACCCAACCCCGATGGCAAACACCGGGGGGGTTGGCTTGTTTTACAACGTCGTTGCCAAGCGACGAAAACCCAACTTCGATGGCAAACACCGGGCGGGGGGAGGGGGGGGGGGCAGTTAACATAGGACATGCGAAACCCGTTTGATACAGCCGCACAATTTGTGTTGGCCTCATTGGGCAAAACGTTGCTGTGTGCATACGTCTTGTGTGGACTCCACATCGAGAACTGTTTTGGCCTCCAACCTGCATACTTCCGTACTCCGAATTCCACCGAACACCACCGAAAATCATGAAAACACGGCTAGTACTTCAGATCGACAACAAGCCCGAAAAAGTTAGGCAAAGTCTGGATATTGTGCCTTGAGTTTGGTATTTTTCTCCCCACCTGGTACCCGAAACCGTAGAGCTTCCCCGTGGCAGGGTCTTTCTTGGGATGCGCCGTGAAGGGTGTCTCGAGCTTTCCTTCGAAGGAAGTCCGTCCGAGAGTTTCGATAACCCCGTCGCACATGACGCGGAGCGCGTACGGCACTCCCGCTTCTTGCAGGGCCATCAACCGGCCTGTTCGAACGGTTGTGACGGGACGATTGGAATAGTAGAACCACGGTTGGTGGCTGTTGCCCGCGGGTAAGGCAATGACAACGACAACGACAACGACAACAACGACAAGATACGTTTCCACGTCGCCTGTTGCGGCGTCACCATCCGTCACCTGCGTGAAACTCGAGCGATGTGTTGGCGTTGGTCTCCCTTAACGCCCTGAAGTGCGGCAAGAGCCCCAGCTTCTCCTTGAGGGTGCTCAGCAAGAGCTTGGGAACGCTCAGCTTAGACGAGAGGTCCCCCATGCTACAACAAAACGCACGGAGGTTCACGGAAACAAAACAAACAACAGAGCTGAGCGATACAACATGGCGTCGGTTAAACTACAAGCAGCAAACAGAGAATACCCCCGCGGTACAAACGCCCTCGAAGAACCCTACCATTGGTGCTCAAAAGGGTAAAAAACATGACAGGCAGCATCACAACCGACTTGCACAAGCTCTGTTTCACCACCGCGGGCGTCCATTCCGCTCAAGTGGTGCACCGATGCATGATGACCTCCCTCCCGTAGCCCAAATCGATCTTCTTGGCCCCGGGGAGTCGGTCGGTCGTTACCTTGATCCACCCGCCAAACGGCGGCGTTGATATTACACGGAGCGTCGGAACAAGAACAACCCCGAATAAATCACGTCGGATAAAATCACGAAGCTAGTTGGTCGTGCCTGCCTCAAGCAAACCAATCCTTCGTGAACATGGCCTGACTTGGAGGGTGTAACAATGATGACTGTCTGGATAAGGTCAAGGTTCTTTTGGAACGCTCCCCCCCGGCACATCGCTGAACAGCTTGGCGTAACATACATGAGATACCAGTGGGTAGCTGTCAACTCTCAGCGAGGGACACAACTGGCAGAGGGGGACGGCACTCCAGCGGGGACCCCCCTATTGTTATCGGTGCATGCCATTCAGGCAAATCCAACCTCGTCGGCCAAGAACGCTCATCAATGGCCTTCTTGCTTTTTGTCGATCTTGTTGGCTTTCAAGGCTACCCTAACGCAAAAACGCATTGCCTCATGCCACACTATTTAACAATACATGGACCCACAAACGAGAAACCGGCTCCTCCGTCCCTCCCTCCCTCCCTCCCTCCAGTTTCTCGCCAACACTCGGCGGATCGAGAGACTCACGTCACTCCCAAAGCTTCGCCGGCCTCCTCTTCTGCCTGCAGCCTCTTGGTCCGGATGAAACGGTTCGTGTAGAATGCCGCTCCCGAGGGCTTGATGCGGACACCGTGAACCTTACACATTACACATGCATGTACCGTATTGATCGACGGGACACACACCAAAGATGTAAAAAAACAACAAAAAAAACGACTCGTTGTGGGTTGTCGTTGATCATAATCCCACCCATGATAGTCGTGAAATCGAGGGTGCGGTGTGTCCAAGTCTTCGAAATACATCTCCACCAAGCAAGATCAACGCACAAAGAAAATAATGGCTAAGATGTAACTGCCAGAAGGGCAAGCTGTCCACTATGGGTGGCAACACAGGTAGGGCATTAAGCCAGCCCACCTTACACAGATAGTCACAAACCCCTTATTCTCACGCTCAACAAGCACCAACTCCCTCCCCTTCGACGACTTCGAACGCCCTCAATTCCTGTCGAACTACACCGGCACTCAAATCAACCCTGGCAATCTGTAATGTATACTTGAGCACATATAAGCATATTCGAGCGGGCGCATTCATTGTTCACTCACCATGCCTAGCCCGTCGAACCAGTGGTACCCCCCCTTTGGCATGAACCTCGGGTTCGGGCCGTTGCGGACGAATTCCCCGCACACGACCTCCGGCAGAGTTCCCACGACCTCGCACTCTTCGGCGGTGTGCTCTTCATGTACCGGGGCGAACACCCCATTCAGAAACTTGTTGTCCTTGTCCTATTTTTTCGGCGCGATCAAACGACGCGCGAAGATGGCCAAGAGGGTTTGTATTGCAAACATCAACGACACTGCTGTGAAACCATAAGGTTTATCAAGGGTGCTGCTGTGCCGGTGACCAAGTGCCAACAAACGCTCCCCATCCATCCAATGTATTGCTAGAGTTTTGCGTCTACAATTATGGGGGGGAGGTGGCCCGACTGTCTAGCTAAATAGGCAAAGCCACACACCACCAAGAGGGATGGCTACTGTGCGTTGAACGTGCACATGATCCTCCCACACACACACAAGACTCAGGTACCTTTCTTCGTGAGAGGTCAAGCAAAACGTTCGCTTGTGTGTGGTACACCAGTCAATCTGAACCCACCGTTGTTTACACTGTTTGTCTGCTGTCTTCGCCGATCCGAACAAGGATTTGCGCGCACCTTTATTCTGAAACGTGAGCGAGAGGTGTGCGAAAAATCCTGCACTCTATGCATAACAATTGTAGCATCATTACCCGACAGATTGATTCAAATCTGGAACAGGCTTTGGAACCATTTCGGAGAAACGTTCTCTCGTTTCATGTCTTCGAAAAACGACCACTTGTTGTCTTGGTGGCTCCCGTACGCAAGTAGTAAAATCTTGAGACCACCACTCGCGCCCTACATTCAGTCCCGTCGAGATCATTTCAAACATATGCCTGCCTGCGCTGGGAGCGCTTAGCTCCGGGGTAATAGCATCTCCAGCGAATTCCTTCTGCCACCGCAAGAGGCCTCACCAAACCCCATACTTACGTCAGGGTCTCAGCGGCTGACGTCGCCACGTTTTAACAAAGCCATTCCAAGGGTGTTTTTTATCGCGCTTGCTGACGAAGCCACTCCCTACAACAACATAATTGAAACCGGCCAACGACACCAACCGGTATACCTGGAGGTTCAGGTGGCATAATACGGTACCACAGCAGTACACAAGCACTTTACTCGGGAATCGAACCCCAAGGCCCCACGCTGATTGGCCAAGACCACCACCCCGTACCGTTGTCTGGCGGCTTCAGCGCGAAATAATGCCGACACCGGGCTTTTCGAGTCTTTCACCGTTTGTCTGTCGCCCCTGCCACCGCCGTTCACTATTTTTTTTTGTTCTTGTCTTGACTTCAAATCAGCGCTCACAGCACTATAATAGTGCCGTTTACTCTAACCCGTGGTCACACAGAAGAGCCCCTCTCTATCCTCCCCTCCTGCGCTACTTTTGCCTTCGATTTTTAATGCGAGAAAAGCTCAGCACTCTCTTCCCTCTGTGTACACACGAACTAGCGCTATCCACTTGGCCAGGAGCGGAAGCGTGAGAGAAACTCACTTTGCAAGAAAAGCTCGCCTGCGCCGGTCGAACCCCTGACCGGACCTCTAAAAAACTTCCAGGATACCAACTACACCACCGGGGTGTAGAGCACCGACTAGCGATCTGCTGGCTCCTGGGGGGGAAGACAAGTAGGGCACTTCTCGTCGTACCGGATTGGTGGTGCTCTATCAGGAGATGGCCGTGCTACACAGGCATTCGTCCCAATCCTTGGTAGGAAATAGCTTGCCCTAACCCTGGGAGTTGTCGAAATAAATGGAGAACGCAAAGCGGAGAGCTCACACACGCGGTTCAAACGAGGAGAAGCAGAGGAAGAACGTGGCCACGCACACCGCTGGGCGTGTGCCTACCCATCACAGATTCGAGGCCAGCTGTCGAAACAGCAGGGGCGGAGCCAATACGAACCTGCGCGCCGTGGGTTTAGCCATGCGCCAAGTGTAACCTAGCTGGTTGATTATGTTGCATTGTAACGTGGGTCCAACTGACCGCTCAAAAAGACACAAAGGTGAGATAGATCACACGTACACATCGGGACGATCGCTCATGCCCTTGGACACGGATCGAGATAAACCTTCGAGAGCGTGAGCGTCTACTGCAGTGTATTGCGGCAGTTTATGAGGATCACCTGTAATCGTGTAGAAGATAGAAATGCGGCCTGACTTCGACGATAATATATGGATGCTCGATGCCTCGTTGAGGTCAGTCCTGGATAATGAAGAAGCTGTGTGATGTGTCAATCAATGGTCGTACATCTCTGAGGTCAGGAAACTACTGGAACACGAGGGCTCCTCGGAGAGCAAACAGACCCACCACCTCGATTGGACGAAGGTTCCACAATTTTCAGGATGGTTGCCCAGGATCGGTTCATCAGGTTGTAATGCCGTGCTGCTGCCTTCGGGGACAAGCATGAACTGAGGCAAAGCCGTCTGCCTCCTGTTGTTGTAGCTGCTGAGTCTCTATTGCATGAAATTGAAATGTGTCTGCCGTTTCTGTTAGCACCGACCGCGGTAACCGGCTGACCGATGCAAATACGTCAGTCTCACGGTGTGTGTTCGTTCGTCCCATCTATTCTAGCGCTAGTCTGCACAACTTTCGGCGTTTATATCACCGGCTTCTTCTGTTGCTTGGGTCTCACGTAGAAGACTGCTTGCTATCACTCCGTGGGATATGTATTCGACAGGGTTGAGACGATTGAGTGTGGCGGGTATGTTGTATGCCTGTCGCATCTATCTGTCTGTCCCGATGTCACGAGATGCTATGTCTACGCTGTTGCTGGCGCTCTGAGGCGCTCTGACCTATTCGTCGCCAGGTACACGCAGTATTCCATGTCTCTTCCTGGTATGTAATGTGTGCGTATGTGCGTCCGCCCGCATTCTATTCAGTATTTGCGCGTCGCGGAAAGACTTTACTCATATTTTGGTTCTTCGCCAGTGCGTGGCATCAACGGAAAACAAACGAGCCCAAGGGGCGGCCTCCCCCCCGTCAGTCAGTACACAAGCACCTCTTCCTCGTCGCGCCCGTCGCAAGCAAGCCTGTGCCCGGTGCACCTATACAGTAGATCCTGATATTCACGCTGCTGTGTTTGCGGGGCTTTACAGCGTTTAAATAGTTTAAATCAGACAGAATGGCAGCAACACTACTGCGAGGTACTGAGGCGCACCCCGCGGCTCATTACCCCTGTCTAGTTGCCGGTCGCCCCGGTAGGCTGGGTGGTATTCTCGAAAACCTTGCATGTTAAGGCTAGGGTCAGGGGTTCGAAGGCAAAAGCAAGCTTTTCTTGCAAAGTGAGCGTTTCTCTCGCTTCCGTTCCTGGCCCGGTTGGAAAGCGCTACTCTACAAAAAGTTCGTGTTGGTGAGTAGGACACACCATGGACGATTGGATAGACGATAGGCCTTATCGCCCCACCGATAGCTGAACCATCAGCAAATCGATATGAATTTTAGTCCTAGATAA